GCTACACCCTCCCCCAACAATGGAGTTTTAAAGAGGCCACTAGAGCTACAAATCTGTTGCATCCATGAGTTGGATGTTCCCTTTCTACACAATTTTCTTTATGACCCAGTAGTCACGAGGGCCTTCTCAACAGTTCCAGCTTCACCCAGGGCCTGTTAAGCCAGGTTTTCCTCTTTCATCCCTTTCCATTTCTGCTGAAAGAGTTGGAGGCGCAAAAAGGAAATGGAGGAATCTTCCCAGCCCATCAGATCCAAGTTCCCTGGATGTCAGATTTCACTCAGTATTGAGTCCCTCGGCTTTGAAACTGTGCAGGGAGCTCTGGGCCCACCCTCTCCATCCCCCAGGTGACTCTCTCACAGGGTGAGGGGACTCCATCTCAGGGCTCTTACTAACCTGAATCCAATGATCTCTCCACCTCACCCCACTCCTCCCACCGCCACCCACCACTCTGCTCACTATTCACTGCAAGGGAGCCCCAAGCTCCAATTTCCAATGTCTTCCTATCAGCATCTGCCTGCTGCCTGGAACAGCTTCTCCTGTGCCCATCCTGCACTACTCCCCTCTCGCCTCCTGTTGGACATCATCTCATCTCACCAGCTATTTCCTCAGCCCACAGCCCCTTCCAGCTCGCCAAGACCCAAGCATCTCCATTTCTTCTCTCATCTGTGGACACGGGCTCCACAGCTGAGCCGCCCTTGTCCAGTTCTGTGTTCACCTGAGCGATAAATGCCAGAAAAATTTCCCCTTCCTTCTGTCTGAGAAATGAGGACAAGGGGATGTTGTTTGAGTAGATGAATTTGAGAGTTTTCATTGCTGTTACCCCCAGAAATTGGGGAAGGAGCCTGAGAGAAACTGATTCTCAGGAAGGAGTAGGGCTCGTTTTATGGATGGGGAGAGAAAGGTTGGGGAATTTTAACATAAACGACTTCACCATTCCAGCACACATGGTCTTGGTGGGGAGCTGGAGGTAGGAGAGGCCATTTCCTGTCTCTCACTTCCTCTCAGAACCTACCCTGATGTGCTCTGATCTGGTTCCTGATGTGGGGGACAGTCAGCTGCAATAGTTACCCTGCTGGCTTTCCCCACAGCTGGTCCTCACTACCCTCCTCTGCCCCCCGGCCATTGCTGTTCCTGGGACGGGGTTCCCGTTTGGTTCTGTGAAAGGGGCCCCCACCTGGAGCACTGGTCCTGTAGCTGGGATCCTGGACAACGCAAACTAAACACAGTTCCCCTTTCCTATCTTTTGATGCTGAAATGTTATCTTGAGGACCCCTCTGTGAGAATCTTGTCCCTCCAAAGTCATTTCAGACCACCGGGTACCACTGTGTCCAGCAGACACAAACCCTGATCTCTTTCTCTCTCTGATGGGAATCCTGGCCCTTGGATGAATGTCCGAGCCCCAAAGCCTTTCCCACGGAGGGAGCCCACATGGGGAAAACCCCCAGGATCATTTCCCAGAGCCAGACCCTCCAAGAGCAGCAGCTCTGCACCTACCTGGGGTGTCTCTGCCCTGAGCCAAAGGGAAGCTCAGCATCGCCAGGGACATCATCAGAGCTGCCGTCCCAGGGGCCCCAGTGACCCAAAAGACCGCCATCCCGCAGCCTGGGAAAGGACAGGAATCAGAGTCAGAGCAGCTCTCACTCAATGGGCCTCACTCTTAAAACATGAGAGATGGTGAGCCTGACCCCTCCTACATCCCCTGGGTGTGGCCAGATTCCAAAAAAGGAACCAATAAGTAGGAACTGTCCCTTTCCAGGCAGAAGCTTGCTGTCAGGCACATGCTACTTCAAGGTATAAGATTCATTGAAGGCAGAATAAAGGGAGGGGCCTCTGAGGAACTGGATGAATCATGAGGGTCTTTTTGGTTCTGTTTTTTTTTTCCTTCTGTTCTCCTTGCCCTGGAGCAGATTGCAGGAATGTCATTCCCGCTCAGTGGTGAGTGCTAATCCCCCTTGCAGGGATGCGGTCTGGGGAAGAGCAAGTCCTAGGCAGTATGTTAAAGATCTCAGGGGATTAGAGTGTCCACCCAGGACTCTGAATTGGTCCTGGAGTCTGTACCAGCCATCACGTAAGGGGTCAGATGTTCACCTTCCCCTCACAGAGGTCCGGTTATAAAGGATGTGGAACAAGGGTCTCTGGGCTTTAATACCAAATAAGGCATGGAAGTAAGTGCACAACTTTGGGCAAATTACTTGTCCTTAATGGGCCACAGTTTCTTTACTTTGGAAATGGGGGTGGTAACACCTATCTTCTCAGTAACTCTGGGAGGGGTGAAATGAGAACGTACATATAAAATGCCTTAGAAATGTAAAGATCAGAGAGTTTTTGAAGTACTTAAATCATTGATGAATTGAATAAAATCGTGCATTATTATTTAACTTAGATTTTCTATTAGAGACAGGATACATTATAGTAAAGTGGTCAGACACAGGTCAAGAGTGAAATTTCCTGGCTGTGAAGTCCCCTTTCTGCTACTTTCTGGATTTTTTTTTAAAACCTGTTATGACTCAAATTTCTTTCATGTAAAATGGAGACTATCATGGAGACCCTGCCTTTGGTTTATTTGGAAATCGAATTGCGATAATCCTTAGCACCTGCATCTCTTCAAGCAGAGCCTTACACACAGTCAGGAATCAAAGAATGTTAATTATTCTAATGCAAGATTAGTTCAGAACACAAAAAAACTCTTTACCCAATACAACACACTATTTCATCCAATAATACAAATTCTATCATGGCAATATTAAATACTAGAAAAACTTACTATAGTCCCACACCTGTTTACTATGGTTCCAAACCCCTCTGTAATAAAACAGAACATATAAAAAATCTACCACTAGATTTCATATGAAGCGACTAGAGAAATTGTTCTTAAGAATAAGATTTAAATAAAAATGCCTTATATCACCACATTCTTCTATGAAGAAGAAATAAAAAGAGTAATAATTAGAAGTGAACAATTAAATATTGTTTGCCTTCTGTGTGTATGTCTGGAAACACCAAAGGATTCCTCTAAGATGATCAAAGGTGTAAAATGGTAAATATAATATCATTTGATAACAGTCAAACGAATTCCTATATGAAACTAAGAATCAACATGAAATTTTGAAAATGTCCATTCACGTAAGTTATTACAAATAAAAAGTATTCAAGGATCAACTTCAATAGCCTATTTCCAAACAACATCACTAAGAGGAAGGCGATTATAATATCTCCATTTTAGTTTCCTCCTCCTGTCCCCAGTCCCGCATAGGCTGGGGCTTTCTGGGCAGTGTTGGTCCTGACACTGTTCTAGCATTTTCTTTCCCAGCCACGGAGATGACCCTTCCGACGTTTTCTGGTTGGCTGAGCCCCATCAAGCTGTTTCATTCCACCCACTTCTCCCTCCACAGGGGTAGAGAAATAAGTCCTGGATTCAGAGCTCCTCCTTGCCTTGCCTCATTTTCTCCTCACTGTCTGTCACTGCAGATGCACCTTGAAGACACAGGGAGCCAGACCAGAGTCATGATCCTTCAAGCCCTCACCCTGGCTGCCCTGCTCAGTCCCCACGGAGCTGGCACCTTCCAGGGTGAGTACTCGGGGGCGGGGTGGGGGTGGGGGTGACGGCAGCACGTTTTGCAACCCACAGGTGCTGTTTTCTGTCCCGTTTCTCTTCTCTATTCTTTCCCCTCTTTTGTGAGGTCATCTTCTTCCTTTCAGTCCACAACATAGTAGCTGCTGTTTATTGATAAACACCTGCAAGTGCCAAATCTCCTCTTCGTTTTCACAACAGACTTTTCAGGAAGGCTTCCGTTTTAGAACTGGAAAGACTGAGATGCAAAGAGGTTAATAAATGTCTCATGATCCCCCGTCATATCACTGATGAGTGAAGAGCCCTGGTACCTCCTCTTCCCAAGATTCTCTGTCTCTCTTACATTTCAGAGGTAGACATTTTGAAATGGGAGTCTGCGATGTTTGTTTTTGACTTTTTCCTGGTTCACTCAGTCCTCAACCAACTGCATTCTCCCCTTTGTTTTCCCGATCTCTGATGCTGCTCTCAGTGGGGCCGCTAATGGTCTCCAGCCAACCCAAACCCACCATCACCTCTCCGTGTGTCTTACTTGTGTTATTAGTGATGTTTGTGATGTGACTGCTTCCTCCTTCCTGAAATTTCCTTCTTATTCCTTGTCTTAGAAGCATACTTCCTCCTTGTTTTCTTCCTATTCTTTAGTCTTCTCCTTTTCAGTCTCTTTTTATTTTATTTAATTTTAAGTTTTTTATTGAAGTATAGTCCGTTGTCAATGTTGTGTCAATTTCTGGTGTACAGCATAAAGTTTCAGTCATACATACACATACATATATTCCTTTTCATATTCTTTCTCATTGTAGGCTGCTGCAAGATATTTAATATGGTTCCTTGTGCTATACAGTAGAAACTTGTTTATCTATTTTATATGTAGTAATTAGTATCTGCAAATCTCAAACTCCGAATTTATCCCTTCTGAACCCCTTTCTCCCCTGATAATCATAAGTTTGTTTTCTATGTCTGTTAGTCTGTTTCTGTTTTGTAAATTAGTTCATTTTTGTCTTTTTTTTTTTTTAGATTCCACATATAAATGATATAATATGGTATTTTTCTTTCTCTTTCTGGCTTACTTCATTTAGAATGATGATCTCCAGGTCCATCCATGTTGCTGCAAATGGCATTATTTAATTCTTTTTTACATTCCATTGTATAAATGCACAACTTCTTTATCTAGTCAACTATTGATGGACATTTAGGTTGTTTTCATGTCTTGCTTTTCAGCCTCTTCTTAAATGTCCGTGTTTGCCAGGATGCAGGACTACACATTCAGACCCTGCTATTATGACTTTATACACTTCTCTTGAGTTATCTAATCCAAACTTTTAAGTTCACTTGCCACGAGGATTCCTGGTCCATGTTACTGGACCGTCTAACTTGAGACCCATTTACTTATTTCATCCGCCCTCGCATCAACTACACTTTGTCTCCCAGAAATTTAACCCCAGCATGTTTCTAACAGCAGCACATTTTATTTTCTCTCGCTCACTTCTTTATCCTTCTCTACCTTCTCAGTCACTGATGCCACAGTTCTCCACATTGCCTGCTCATTCTGGATTCCTTCATGTCCTTACTTCTACCCACTGACACCTGTGGCTCGCATCTCTTTACTGCCATTCAAACACACCCGTTTGTCTCCTTGCCCTCCGCGTTACTGCCTCATCTGCACCCTCATCCCTTCTCACCTGATTGCCCAAGAGCCTCCTGGTCTTGCTTTCAAACCAGCCTCCTCCAATCCCTCTTCCCTGCTGTTGCCACCTTCCAGTACGGATATGATCATGTTACTCTCAAGTTCTTCCGAGAATTCCCATGGGCTGTGGGATACAATTCAAATACCTCCAATTAGCACACGAGGCAGAGCACAATACAGCCCCCTCCACATTTCCCTCTTAGCTCCAGCCATACCGAAGGACATGCAGTTCTCCATGCATTTTTATGTCTCTCTCCGCCTGAGCCTTCTTCTCTGGCTAAAAATGCCATTTCCCCCTCCCTCTGCTTTGCTAACGTCAGGTAAATCTCATCTTTGGGAAACCTTACTTAAATCTCATTTTGATTTTATTTTTTAAAACTTTTTTGTGGGGGTAGGTAATTGGGTTTATTTATTTTAAAATTTTATTTATTTTTAAATAGAGCTACTGAGAATTGAGTCCAGGACCTTGTGCTTGCTAAGCACATACTCTACCACTGAGCTATACCCTCCCCACTCATTTTGATTTTAATATCCCCTTTGGCTCCCTTGTAGGATCTTGTGTATACCTTGTGATAACTCAGCAGTGATCTTTTCTTCGTCTTTCTCATTCTTTGGAGTCCAAGCAGCTTGAAACCAAAACCCTCGTCTTCTGAGTTATATCTTTAGAGCTTGAAGATTAAAGGTTTATAGTACATGTTTTTTTTGGCAGAATGAAAAGTAACATGTGTAAGAGTATAATTTACTTAAAAATGCCCAGATCTTTATCTTTAAGAATTTGTGAATATGAGGTAATTTATCCAATTATTAAATAAATAGTGATTAAGCATAGGAATTCAATGCAGGTAGGATTGCCCTGAGCTTGAAGGAAGAAACATTTGCAGTGTGTTTTAGGTGATGGTTTGAATTTGGATAGAAGAATATAGAGGAAGAATCCAGTGTACAGAATTAAGGAGGCAGAAGTTGGAAAATCCATTAAATTATAAACCATTATGTGAATACATAAGGGATATTTTGATTATTGTGCTTAATTTTAGACAGCACCATAATCACCCAAATGGTAACTATCATGAATAAGATGCTTGGAAAACCCCAGAAGAATATTTACAGGCATATATTGCATATTTTGTTAACCATAAAATATGCATAGTTGTATAATGAAAAAAAAGAATTTGTGAAAATGATGAAAATGAATTCTCCCAAGGTGAACAAACTACATCTGTGGAGCCCAGCTTGTTCTTTCTTTTTTCTCTTTTTTCTTTCTGTGGGTGAGTGATTCTCTGATCACTAAAATCAATGGAAATCTGCACGTACTCATGCGTGTCAATGGATTCTGTCACCAGAAGCATTGAAGGAGAGGACTGATTCTCCACGTGTCGGGAGCTTCCAGGGCAAATCTTTAATTAGAGAGTTAGACCAATGAACCCTGCAGTGTCGTTTCACCTTAGTACCTCTGCCTTTCTCCACCCCAAATTCTCATTTCTATTGATTCCCTGTAATGCCAATAGACTTTTCTTTGTTGTCAACCTTTTGCTGCTTCTTACACACCAGTTAAAATTAAGATACTATCCCATGGGTGTTTTAAATGCAGCAACTTTGATTTCCAACAGAAATCACACTTTAACACATAAATTCAGCAAGAAAATTTGTGAATGTGTGAATGACGATGACACTTTTAGATTTGTTATGCCTAACATGAAAGTTCTGTGGACAAAATTACACAACCAACCATTTTTACCCTGGAGCTAAGAAAGTAACTTGAAGTTTATGAAAAGAACCAATATGTTTTATTTCTTTCACTATTTAAAACATTTTCTACTCTGAAAGATTTTTACTCTACTCTCTCCTCTTCCCCACCCTGCTCTATAGCTTTATCACTAATATGATGTCTGGTCCTGTAAGGATTCTGAAATCTTGTGGGACTGGAAGCGGAGGACAAGTCAATATTGCTTCTATAAGGAGTTGTGTTATCTTGGGACAGTTATCTCATCTCTGTGGTCAGTTACTGAATACGCAAAATAAAGCTTTACCTGCGGGTGTGAAAATTCAATGAATAAATTATGCACATAGTAAGTCCTCAATAAATATTCTTATTATTGTGTTCAACATTACCATCATACTGGAGTGATGGATGCTTAACTCTTCAGGGACAAGGGAAACCCCTGAATTTTTTTCCTTTTCATATTCTTTTTTTTTTCCACATTGGAGTATAGTCAGTTTACAATGTTGTGTCAATTTCTGGTGTACAGTGTAACACTTCAGTCATACATTTACATAAATATATTCGTTTCATACTCTTTTTTATTGTAGGTTACTACAAGATATTGAATATGGATCCCTGTACTACACAGTATAAACTTGTTGTTTATCTATTTTATATACAGTAGTATCTGCAAATCTTGAATTCCCAATTTATCCCTTCCTACCCCCTTTCTCCCTTGGTATGAATTCCCAATAAGTCATTTCTCTCCTTGTTTCCTCCGATTTCTTTCTTCTCCTTACTTTCATTTTGCATTTCTCATTTTCTGTGTTATTCCTTCGTGATCCTAATAACCCTCCCTTTACCTACCTGCTTCCTGTATTCTGTTCACTGCCCTATGTGTTCACCCATTCTCCAGCCTCCTTTCTTTCTCTTCATGCAGTGGACCATGTGTCAATGTACGCCGAGTTTGTCCAGACACACAAACCTTCTGAGGAGTACATGTTTGAATTTGATGAAGATGAGCAGTTCTACGTGGACCTGGATAAGAAGGAAACTGTCTGGCACCTGCCAGAGTTTATTCACGCCTTTGACTATGATGCTCAGAGGGGCATTGCTGACATCGTCATGGCAAGGAAGAACCTGAACACCATGATCCAACGCTCCAACCACACCAGGGCCACATCCGGTACTGCTCACTCTTGTCCACTCCTCTACAGTCAAACTGCAGGGACGGGAGAGCCCCTCTACACACAGAGAATGGGGGACCCCGATACACACTCATGAGTGATGCCCTCCCCATAACTGAGTAGTATTTGATCCACAAGTTGGGTACTTAGGCCATCAGAAGAGGCATTTTCTTCTTATTCAAGATAAAGATTGGGCTGAGGGAGGCCAGGTCAGGGACACGAGAAGCTGTGACTCTGAACTGGGAGCCCTTGGTTGGGGTTGAGGGGAAAGGTGGGCCTGAGAGAGGAAGGCCCTAATCTGGAGAATATAAGGCCTGGGGTGGAGGGTCCTTTGCAATTCAGCCAAAGGCAGTAGACTCACCAGGTTGCATTCCCTCTCAGAGCCCCCTGAGGTGACCATGTTTCCCAAGGAGCCTGTGGAGCTGGGCCAGCCCAACACCCTCATCTGCCACGTGGACAAGTTCTTCCCGCAGGTGCTCAACGTCATGTGGCTGCGCAATGGGCAGGCGGTCACCGAGGGTGTGGCTGAGACCATCTTCCTGCCCAGCACAGAATTTAGATTCCACCAGTTCCACTATCTGACCTTCCTTCCCACCGCCGAGGACGTCTATGACTGCAGGGTGGAGCACTGGGGGCTGGACCAGCCGCTCCTCAAGCACTGGGGTATGGACGCCCCCACTGTTAAAATTCTTTTTATTTTATACAATTTTTAAAGGTTACTTTTCATTTACAGTTATTACGAAATAGTGGCTCTCTTCCCCGTGTTGAACAGTACACCCAGCAGTTCGTACTTCCCACTCCCCCACTCCTGTATGACCCCTCCCTGCTTCCCACTGGTAAACACCAGTTTGTTCTCTGTGTCTGTGGGTCTGCTTCTTTTTTGTTATATTCATTAATTTGTTGTATTTTTTAGATTCCACATATAAGTGATATCATACAGTATTTGTCTTTCTCTGTCTGACTTTTTTCACTTAGCCTAATGCCCTCCAAGTCCACCCATGTTGCTACAAATGGCAAAATTTTATTCTTTTTAATGTGGATGCCCCCCACCCCTACCTTTGCCATCACCGTCCTGACACCACCTTTATTTCCCGGAGCCATCCCTCAGCACCTGCTTCCTTAATCCCATGTTTTATCATCATTTTATTCAAACTTCACCACTTCGTGGGTTCTAAGCCTTCACATCCCCACATTCTCTGCGCTTCCTGATTCCATCTTCTTTTGTGCCCCAGAGGCCCAGGAGCCGATCCAGGTGCCTGAGAGATGGAGACCGTGGTCTGCATGCTGGGCTTGGCGGTGGGCCTGGTGGGCATCATCACCAGCACCGTTGTCCTGAAGACCAGGTTATCCGAGAGCGTCCCCTGTGAGTCATCCCAGGGGTGGGGCTGTTAGGGACATGGTGGAGAAGAGGGGGCAGCGTGTTACGAGTGGTGGATGGGAAGGAGAAACACTTCCACAGGGGTTCTTTGAGCACTTTATATTTTAGAGCCACTGAACTAGATGAAAACAGTAATAAATATAGTGGTCAGTAACATCAGCTGGGTTGCTCGCTGCGTACCATGCACTGGTCTACATGATTTGTATGTATTCGCTTATTTACGTTTGGAGGTTGGTGCTATTATTTCCCCCTAGGGAGAAACAGACACAAGGAGAGATGAAGGAATCCGTCCAAGATCACATGGCTTAAAACGTGTAGAGTCTGGATTTGAACCCAGGCACTGGGGCTCCAGACGCTGCGGTCTTATCCGGTACATCAGGTATAGCCTCTGCAGCCATTGTGTCTCTCCTGGACCATCTTCACAGCCTTGCTTTTCCTCTTTTCTCATAGTGATGTCTCCAACACTAGTTAAACATTTGAAATAATAAAGGACATCCTACATTTTGCATAATCCCAAAGGGAATACATCTAATATATTTGCTATAGATTTTTGGCTTATAATCTTTACCATGTGGTGAAATTGATCAAATTCAGTTTTTGCATTTCTGAGTTAAATTCACCTGAAATTAATATAAATTTTATTTTTTGGTTTATTGGTTTGGGGGTCATGTTATGGATTTTCTGATATTGAACAGTCATTTCATTCCTAGGTGTTTTGTGTTGGTCTCAGCCTATCGACAGTGATGCTGTGGGCTAGGAATGCCCCCCCCCCGCCCCGAGCACTCACTTAGGCATGAGTTATGGGGACCCCCCACAGACATTTCTCCCACCAGAGCCAATATTCTGGCTGGAATGGCCCTTCTGGTGGTTATTATGATTGCAAGAGGCACCACAGCAACAAACATCAGAGAACTTTGAAAAAAAAAAAAAGCAAGATGTTACTGACAAGTCCTAGAGGGAAAGGTGGGGAGCCTGGGGTTCTGTGGGTGGGGTGCCTAGGGTTTCACAGATTCATTCTTTATTGGTGAATTTAAAACAATAGAGCAGGAATTAAAGCATGAGAAGGGAAAAGCAAGGTCACTCAAGTGATCAGTTACGCAGGTCCCCCAGGGCCTTCTGAAGGCCGGGCTCTTTCTGTGGTTGTGTAAACGGCAATTGTTTTTGAGATGGATGCTTTGAAGTGAACGTCTTAGCAATCAAAAGCTTAACGTCAGGCACTTACATCACAATCCAGAAAGCTAACCGTCAGGCACTTCCACTCTACTAGGATAGATCTTATTTGATCAAAATGTATTATATTTGTAACGCACTTCTGGGTTCGGTGACATGTCCTTAGTTGTCTCTGGAAAAAAGATGTACCAGCCTTACAAAATGATTTGGAAAACTTGCTCCTTTCTACTTTCTATGCTTTACATAAGAGAGGAACGATTTGTTTTTGAAATGTGGTTGGAATCACCCAGCTACAATGTTATCAGACAGCAGCCTTTGGAAAGTTGTTCTTTGGTTCTGAATTCAATATTGATGTTCGTTTCTCTACTTCAGTTTTCCCTTTCTTCCTGTAGTTTCGACCTTCATATCTTTCTAGAAATTTATCCATCTTTTCTAAAATTTCAGACTTATTGGCATAGAGTTGATTATAACATGTTTTTTCATTTTAAAATATCTGTGTATATAATTATTTCCCCCTTTTCATTCTGAATCTCCTCTATTTTCCTTAACAGTCTTGCCAGAGGTCTATTAGCTTCTTTAAACTTCTTATTAAATCAAAATTTGATTTGTTTATCTTACTTATTTTTTGTTTTCTATTTCATTGAATTCTTTCCCTGTCTTTATTATTTATATGCTCTCTCTTTTTTTTTTTTTTGCTTTTGCAGTTTTTCTAATTTGCCATTCTCTTACTGGAAATTATTGGTTCATTTTCTTTCAGGCTTCCTTTTCCTAATAAATTTATTTTAAACCTAGATGTGTCCTTTTAGGCACTACTTTTGATATACAAGTTTTCATGGAGTACTAAGTCTTCCATCATTTATATTTTCATTCCCATGGTTATTAATTGCATGTTTAAGGTATATGGAATTCATTTATTTATCCCTTTTAATTGATTTAGAATTCAGTTGCATCATAGCCAAAGAACAAAGCCTAGATGATATTAATTTGAACACATTAAGGCTTCCTTCATGGCTTAATAAATGTTAAGTTTCCAGGAGGGCTTATTAAGAGTCAGTGTATCATTCATCAGGTTCCCTTCCCCCAGCTGAGAGATTAGGGGAGCACATGTCAAGATGAAGGTCTGTCTGGCTCCCTGAGTAACTCTGATCAGCGGGGCTACCCCGCTGACTCACACTGGGCGTGTAGCATGAACAAAAACTAGATCTCAGGGGATACGTTACATCAGCACTGCCTCTCTTACTCTTACTATACAAAAGAGAGGTGCTTAAAGAGACTTTGAAGAAGCAGAGAGGCAGGAGAACTAGAAAAATATTTCATCACATAAGTCAAGGGAGCAGAAATTTCAGGAGGGATGAAATAGTTAATAGTGATGGAGGTTCATTGGCTGTTACCTGAGATAAGTATCCCCCGGGCCTGGTATTAAATGGTTTTGGGGGCCGTTTAAAGAGCAGCTTCATACACTGTGCCCAACTTCCACTTCCTTCAACTTCCATCACCTCCTTGTTGGGCCTCTCTGGTGTTTCAGAACGTGCAGTCTGTGGCATGTTGGAGAGAGTGAAATGACATCTCCTTAGGTACCTCTTGACGGCTCACTGATTCTCATCCAGGGGCAACATCTATTGGAAAGACCACCTTCTTCTTAGGGGCTTGTGAGGGAAGAAACTGAAGGGCTCAGTTGTAGAGAGAGGAAGGATGCAATTCTAAACTGGGAGTCCTAACCACACTGTCTGTCCTACTGCAGGTGACAACCTTTCCTCAACGGAAGAGGACACAGGGGAGTCCCCAGCGTCAGATCTGCTTTAAAGCTCCAGTCTCTTTGAATCTCTGTGCTCCTCAGCACCAGTGATTAATGTCCACAGAGACCCATCCCCTGCCAACTCCTGCCTGTCTATGAGTCTAGTCACACTTAGCACCTTGCAAAGGGCCTGGCACAGAAAGCACTTAATATATATCCAATTTGAAGTATGGTGACAAGGTGGCCCCACATTGAATGGTCTACAAGCCTCGGTCTCCTCTGGAACTTCTCCCTAAACAGCATCCTTCCTGAGAAATCCCAGAGACCAACAGATACCTGTGTGTCAGAGCTAGACATCCCTGGTGCTGTCTTGGCAACGCGAGAGCCTTTCCCCACTCTCCATATTTTTAAGTCCCTGGGAGCACATATCCTGGGCCTGTGATGTGGGTGCAGATACTGCATTTGTGTCCTGCCAGGAGGTAGGTCTAGGGAACGTTCGCTCCGCCCTGGGTCCTTCTCTAGCCGATAGCACGGGGCCGTGGGAACAAGGATGGTTGCTGTTCACCATGGGGCTGATTTCCTCGGAATGAGCCCTCACATCATCTTCATGCTGCTGCTCACCCAGCTTGACCCCCCCTTTTATTTCACCCAGAATTCTCACCACTTCTAAACCTCCAGGGCTCTTCTCCTTTACTAAGTAGCAGACAAGACTCCTCTTCCAGCAGACCTACTGTTTTGCAGGAGTTCCCCATAGTAAAGTCGTTAAGCCCTTAGTGACTCAGTGTCTTCCTTTATAGCACATCATATTGTACTGTATCCACTAGTCCGCTGATGTCCCCGCCCCACCCTGCCAGGCTTTACTTTATTCCTCCCAGCTTCTTTCAGGGGCATCTGAAACCACCTTGGGAGACCCCAGTGTGTTAGCTGGTTTAATTGGTTGAATCCCAATTGTGGATTAAGGTCATATCTCTCTCACAGGGTGCAGAGCAAAGTATGGGGACACGGATGAGTGTCTGTCTCAGTTTGGGGAATGTTAACATAAACTATTTCACCATTCTATTACATATGGTCTTGGTGGTGAACTGGAACTAAAAATTAAGAGTTGCAATGAGGATTTGATGCAGGAACCTCGAAGTCATACTATTACATCGTGTATAAGGGGCAGCTGGAGGAGGAGCCATTTCCTGTTTCTCGTTTCCCCTCTGGCCCCACCCTGATTCACAAACCAAGATAATAACTCCCTCCCTTTAGGGAGTACCACCATCTCCAAAGAAAAACAACAAACAGGCCCATATATGTACTTAAAATAAGAAGTGTAAGTAAATACAGACTAGCCACTTAAAAGGAACATGAAAAATTCATTTACAAAAAAGCTATTATTGAAAAAAACACTAGGGACTATAAGGAAAACTATATAGAAGTTCTAGGTGTAAAAAGATATAATAGTCAAAATAAAAACCACATTAATGGAAATAAATAGTGGGAGAGATACAGCTAAAAACACATTAGTAAGCTAGACTGAAGGACCCTCCTAGAATAAAAGATGGAAGGATAAAGAAACTGAAAATAGAAAACAGAAACAGACTCACAGACATAGAAAACAAACGATAGTTACCAAAGGGGAAAAGGGAGAGAGGGATAAATTAGGTGTTTGGGATTAGCAGATTCAAACTATTATATATAAAATTGATAAACAACAAGGGCCTAGTGTATAGTCCAGGGAACTATATTTAATAGCTTATAATAACCCATAATGAGAAAGAATATATATGTATAACTGAATCACTATGCTGTACACCAAAAACTAACATAACATTATAAATCAACTATACTTCAATTAAAAAAAAGAATTTGAAAATAGAGAAGAGTCAAAAGAGGTGGAGAAATGCCATATGAGTGCCATAAAGACAAAAATAGGAGAAAAGAGTTACAGAAATAAAAGAGATGAATTCTCAGAATTAAAAGATAAAGAGGATCCATTCTGTCCTACAGTAACATAAGGAGAAACCTATTTTAGATACAATATAATGAAATTTTAAAATATCAGACAATGAGAAAATTCTAAAGATTTTGGAAAGACTGACATCAGATTTCCTAGTGTCAACACTGGATGCAAAAAGACATTGGGATGATATTATTTAAAATATTAAAGAGAAAAAAAACTTCAAACTTAGAATTTCATACATTAGCTAAATGTTATTAAAAAGTGATGGTATAATAAAAATGTTCTCTAGCATACAGATCTTCAGAAGGTTTGCCACAGAAATAATCACATTTGAAACACTTTTGGAGGAAGTATTCCAATATGAAAAATTTTCAGGAGGTGCTAAAAATGTGTGGGGAGTAAGGTTGGTTAAGGAGAAGTATTTGAATGTATTTGAAAGCATGCTAAGGTCCTTATCTGATTAGAGGGAAAGGTACAGGCAACAATTTTTTTCTAAAAAAAGATGATGGAGAGTAAAAAAGGAAAAAACCCCAGAACGATTGAAATAAATAAGATGTTAGAAACAAGTCCAACAAATGCATCAATAATCACAATAAATATAGCTCTGAGATGGGGCAAAGATAGTGCCATGCTCTCACCAAACCATTACATTTTTCTGAATACACAGCCTAACTACATATTTCCAGCCCCTTTGCACCTAGGCAGGGTCATAGTTTAATTCTTGCCAATGGAATATGAGTAGAAATGGCATGTGGTTTCCAGTCTAAAGCCATAAGAACAGGTGTTCCTTCCAGAGGCTCCCTCCTGTCTGCAAAGCTGGAAGCAAAGTTCTTTATAAAAGTGGAGATGCAAGATGAAGCCAGACTGGATTCACGAGGCAGTTTTTGAGAAGAGCTGCAGAGAGTGTCTAAACTTCTTTGAACTGCACATGGATAGAAAAAATAAACCTGTTTTTTAAACCACAGAAGTTTCGGTGTTTGTTGCAGAAGCAAGTTTGTTCCACTTTGACTAATATGTGGATTGAACCACCAACTAGAAGACAGACGGTCAGTCTGAATCGAAACCAAAATCTATTCTTCTGATACTTACAAAAGCTACATCTAAAGCATTAGTGCAGAGAGTCAAAAAAATAAAAAGATATAAAAAGATATCAAATGAATACGAACAAAAAGAAAGCTGTGTAGTATGTTCATGTCAGACAGAACAGACTTGAAGACAGAAAGACTGTCAGTACAAACTGGGAAAAAGCTCATTTCACTGAGACTATGATACTTCCAGAAGTAAGCACCTAAGAGTCTGAACATAAAGAGGGCAGAAACGCTTTAAAAAATGGAAACAAATACAAAAATCTACAGCTACAGTTGGATATTTAAATACACTATTTTTTTTCTAGGTCAATCCAAAAATAAAGGTATGATAGAACAACAAAATTAACACTTTTGATCTGATAACATATATAAAATTCTGCATCCAGTTAGAGCACTTGAGAAACACTGACAAATACTGACCATATTCCAAGCCATAAGGCAAGTCTCAGTAAGTTTCTTTGTTTCTTCCTCTTTTTCTTTTTTTTAATGGAGGCACTGGGGATTGAACCTAGAGCCTCAGACATGCTAAGCACATACTTTACCACTGAGCTATACCCTCCCCCCTCAATAAATTTATAAGATGCATCATAGTGATAAGATTCTTGGATTATAATGCAATTAGATTAAAAGTTAACAAAAAAACTGTATACATTAAAAAAATCCCTATATATTTTGTGATTTAAAGGTTTAAAGGATTTTTTTCCCTAGATTAAAAAAAATTTTATTCTGTATAGCTCAGGGAACTATATAAATATCTTGTAATAACATTTAATTAAAAATAATAGGAAAGTGAACATATGTATATATATATGCATGACTAGGACGCTGTGCTGTACACCAGAACTTGACACATTATAAGTGACTGTAGTTCAATTTAAAAAATGAAAAAACAAAAATAAAGGATTTTTTTCCTACACTGTATCCAGTATTTCCCTTTAAAGTTTCTTGGTCAAATTGATTTTATTTTTTAATTCCAAATTTGTCCACAGAAACTTAAAGGGGAATAGGATCCTCTACACCACGGATCAAGATAGAGGATTTGTTTGAGCCCAGCTGCGCAGGGCTCTGATGGTTCCACCTCTCCCTTCAGAGGGTCCCTTCTTGGAGGAGGTAGTAACAGTTGATCTAAGCCCTTCCCATCCCTTTTGACTTTCCTGTGGACCAAGCCTCCATGTTGCATGTAGACCTGGCAAATGCTTCCATCTTCTCACTCAGGCTCTTTACTCTGCTTCTCTACTCAGCAACAGCTACCCTAACTCAGAGAATTTCTCTGATTGGCTGAATACAGCAGGGGTCTCCCCCAGCCTAGGATCTGTTTTCTTCCTCTTTACTTCTGCCTTCTTCCTTTACCCCTACACCGACCAAGACAGAGGGCAATGGTCCTCAGTGGGGGGCTGGTCCTGGGACTCCACACCTTGATGACCCTCCTGAGGCCCCAGGCAGCCGGGGCCATCAAGGGTGAGTGCTGAGGCTGCTGGGTGAGGAGCGGAGCTTGAGGGTGTTGGGTTACGTGCCAGCTGAGACAGCACAGAGCACGAACTGTTCCTCTCTTCTGGTTTATGGGCAACTTCCCTTACCAAGAGATCCCCCAGCCCTCTCACCTTGATTTGTCTGTCCTGGACCCAAAATACAGATGCAGCGCAGTCCAGCCACAGCAGTGTCAGTTTCAGGTACCTCCTCATTCCTCCCTCCTTTCTGAGACCCAAACCTCCATTGTACTGCCGCCCAGCACCCCGATTTCTCTACCACTTCCTGACTTGGACGCATGTCCATTCTAGTCCGGTTCCATGGCCATCTTTCTCCCCGTGTCGATAGGTGGATGTTTATCTGTCTTTCTCCTGCTCCAGACGTGAGCTCCTTGGATGAGGGGTCCACAGCTGGCTCGTCTGTATTTCCTTGGGGCCTGGTAGTGTGCCGGGCACATGGTAGGCCATCAAAGACTATTGAACAAATAATTACATAGAATTATAAAGGAATCTTATCAATGAACACTTAACCTTTAATTTCTAGAAAACTGAGCCTCTGTTAGGGGAAAAGACATTTAATCATAATGCTCTGAGACAGAAGAGTTGGAACATGAAATTTGAACTTCTGACTCTTCTTCCATTGCTCTCTGCAAGACCTGGGGCTGATTTTTTCTATCCCTTTAGTCTCTGTGTCACAAACCTTAATTTTTACACCTGCCGGCTATCACCTGTTTTCCCTCACACCCACCTCCACTGCATCTCTGTGCCCAAAGCTCCACTTTGCTCCTAGCCGTCTTTATTTTCTCCTCATCCTACCCCTCCACACTTCATTTCACACACAGGACCAGACAGCACAGCTGGAGCAGATGATCATAGCCAGGATTTAACTCTGCGCATCCCAAGCATGACTTTAAGCAGCCTCTCCTCTTCCCAACCCAGTCTGCCAGCCTGCGCCCATGTCTCTGTGCTGGCCAGTGTGTTGGGCCCGTTTCTCTGCAGCCTCTCCTTTCCACGCCCCAGCAATCCTTCTACTCAGCGTCAGAACAGGTCTCTGCCTCCGCACAGAACCCAGGATGGGGCACAGCTCAGAGACACATCACATGTCATGAGATTGATGCATTTTCTTTCCTCTCCCTGACCCTGAACTCACCCAATACAGCTGACCACATGGGCTCCTATGGACCAGCGTTCTACCAGTCCTATGATGCCTCGGGTCAGTTCACTTACGATTTCGATGGGGAACAGCTATTCTCTGTGGACCTGAAGAAGAGGGAGGCTGTGTGGCGTCTGCCTGAATTTGGCAACTTCGCCTACTTTGACCCGCAGAGCGGGCTGGCCAGCATCGCCATGATCAAAGCCCATCTGGATGTCTTGGTGGAGCGTTCCAACCGCACCAGAGCCACCAACGGTACTGGGCCCTTCCTCTGCTCCCTGCCCCAGGAGTAGGGGAGGCCCAGGGCAGCCTCTTCCCCACCTCCCAGGCCTCTATTGGCCATGAGGCACCACTCTTAGAATCTGTGACTGTTGTGCTCAGCCCCTTTCTTTCCCAGGAGGTTCTAGATTCTCCCAGATTCCTTCAGCAGCCTCTTCCCCTTGAGGAATGACCCCCTGCCTCTACCTGGACCCCCCCTCAGGGACCTGTCAGATACAGGTGCCCCCACTGCCCTCCTCAGTCTCCTCTCCCTCTGTCCTCCTGGTTCCTGCCCCAGCAGTCAGCAATGCAGAGCATCCCCTGCCCGGAGGAGGCTAAATAGGAGGGAGCATCCCTTGATCCCAGCCCTGCAGGGATCAGCCTTGGGATTCAGGACCTTGTTCCTCCTAGTGCCTCCAAGAGTGACCATACTCCCCAAGTCGCGAGTGGAGCTGGGCCAGCCCAACGTCCTCATCTGCATCGTCGACAACATCTTCCCCCCTGTGATCAATATCACCTGGCTGCGCAATGGTCAGACGGTCACTGAGGGCGTGGCCCAGACCAGCTTCTATGCCCAGCCTGACCATTTGTTTCGCAAGTTCCACTACCTGACCTTTGTGCCCTCGGCAGACGACTTCTACGACTGCAGGGTGGAGCACTGGGGCCTGGACAAGCCGCTCTTTAAGCACTGGGGTATGGAGCCCCCTCCCTGCATGTCCTTCACTCGCGAATCCCTTTGCTGTCCCCCCTGACCCTTCCTTTCTCTCCCAGAGCCCCAGATGCCTACCCCGCTGCCAGACACCACAGGGACGCTGGTCTGTGCCCTCGGCCTGGCCCTCGGCCTGGTGGGCTTCCTGGTGGGCATCGTCCTCATCATCACAGGCTCACGCTTGTCCAGAGCCCCCAGGTGCAGAGGCCTCAAGAGTCTGGGGGAGGAAAGTAGATGACTGTGTAGGATGAGGGTGGAGGATTCTGTGTGGAGGAATAGGGTTGGGGACAAGGGGTGGGCAGGGAATGGAAGCGCAGAGGTGAGGTGAAGGGGTCAGGTTTTGGGGAGGTGGACAGAGATGGCATCCTGGAATTCTGACCTTGAAAAGCTTGGTCATATGATTTTTGCTACTTTAGGTAATGACCCTTCTGAGAGAAACGGGTTTGGAGGACCCCCGTCTTCAGCTTCCTGGCAAGTCTCTGACAGCCCTTGAGTGCTCAGTACTGCGTCGACCAAGTGCATCCCCCTGTGCTGACTTTGGGATCAACCTCTGTCCTGCAGGTTTCCTATTTTTTAGCCCCAGTACTCATGGCAGGACTTGTGGGACACAAACTAGCTCCCCTTCCCAACTCCAACACACACACACTTTCTTGATCTACCCAAAGCCCTGTAGTAGCAGTAAAATGTTTAACAGTGTTTGCACCATATCCGTTTTACCAGGTCTTGGCCAGTTCTCTCAGGGTGTAGAGGATGCTAGGATCTGGAAGACTGGATTTCCGGTGACGACCAGTGAGCATAAACAATTGGTACTAGGGGTTGGCAGTCATTCTTGGGCCAGTCCAGCTATGTCTTGCTCCATTTGACTCATCAATTTCGGGCCCCTTGTGTGTTACTTGTGAATGGCCCATTTCACATGGACTTCGTGAAATTTGCATCCTGAATTCAGATTTGCCTGGAAAGCGGTGCAGAGTATCCCATTCACTGTAACTTCCCGCAACCCATGACAGTTCTGCAGGACACCGGGAGAGGAAATGTTCATGGAAATTCCACTCTTGATTTACTCTGTAATGAAGAAGCCATTGGTATGATCTATGATGTCATCTCCTTTTTTCTACATTCCCTAGAGTCCCATGCATGACAAAGAGAGGCCGAAAGCTGGGGTAAGATGGCTACATCCTTTGCCTGGGGTCCGTCCTATCAGGAGGGTCAGGAGGGTAACAGAATAGATCAGCAAGTGTCTGGTACAAGGAGGGGGACGGGGTCTAAGAGCCATCCACCTGAATGTTCTCTAAATATGTAGCCTGGAAGATTTTAGTTACCGTGAACAAAATTTTCAACACACAAACAGATAAGTAACCAAACAAAGTAGTTTATGCCAAGTATCAAATAAAGTGGTACAGATGAGTGGTTTTCAAATCAGAATGCACTAAGAATCATGGGGGAGCCTTTTAGAAAGTATGGGCTTCACTCAGATCTACTGAATTAGAATCTTTGCAGAAGGGTGAGTGGTGAGTCTGCCATTTTTAACCCACTCCGATGATGCTGTTACAGCCACCCCAGACCCAGGCTGTGGTCTGGTAACTGGGGCCCACTGATGTAGTCTGGTGCTATTGGAGGTCATTGGAAGAGGGCATCCCTGAAGTCTGAAGAGGTCCAGGAAGGCTTTCTGGAGAACACGGGTCTTTTGGGCATAAAGGTTGAGCAAGATACAGGTCAAAAGGGACAAGATAGGGCTTTGAATTATGACTATTTCATCCTGGAAAAGAAAAAATCAAGAGATTATGGGGACTTTGTGGACTTCCCAAGAGAGAATAAGATGGGGCCAACTATTGGCCAGAAGAGGACTCCGATGGAAGTGGGAGAGGATTGTCCTAGTCAAGGTTTTTGTTTGTTAGGAACAGAAACCCGATTACAATGTGATTATAGACAAAAGGAGAGGATATTTACAATAAAGACACAGGAGTGGTACCCAGAACCCAAGGGTGGGTTTTAGCCAGTCCTCGCAGGGAACGGACTGCAGAACTGAAGAGCCAGCAGAACCTAGAGCAGCCGCACTTGCTGTCTCTGGGCCATGTGGTCTCTGCTCTCCAGACTCTTCTGCAGGTTAGTCCTGTTCTCTCTGTGGACTGACTGTCCTTTTCAGCTAACATGTCAGCTCTAGAGTACTTGTGTTTGGATGTCATCTCAGCTCTAGCCGCCCACAGAGCCTGTGTCCCCTAGTCACAATTTATAATTATTGGAAAAACAAATGGCTGCTCAGACTTGGGGCAGGTGGGGCAGGTGGCCATCCCAGTCCATTGTACTGTGACCAGGGGACCGAGATCCCACAGAACAAGCCTGGCTCCTCTGAGGTGAGGAGTCGGGTCGTCCTCAGAAAGAGAAGAGGCTGTCAGAAGACACCACGAGGTAGCTCTGTCCCCAGCATGCCTTGATCTCTGCCGATCTTTTACTTAAAACTTAACTAGATGCATCCTTGGAAAGGTGTTTCTTTGATCTCTGTCCTAAGGTTTAATAAAGTCATTAAAAGTGTTCTTTCTTTGGACCAGGAGTGTGCTTTTTTTCACTATGCATTTATTACCCAGAAGTCACTGGAAGCAATTTGGAAGGAAGATGGAGCAATTCCAAACCTTTTAGGTTTATATATCTGTCCTCACACATTTTTTTCCTTCTGGTATCAAAGTAAATAGCTTCTCATTAAAAAAAAACCTGTCCTTCTGCTTTCTTGATCTGATTTCTTTCAGTCTTTTTTAGAATAGATGTTCAATAGTTACCTCCTCTTCAGTATTTTTATACTCTGACCCTAAAGATAATAAACATATCCAGCCCTCTCTCCATTCATGTCATTGCCCCCAGAGTTGACAACTTTCAATTGTTTTCAACTAATTCTGTTGCTGTTGATCTTCTGTCTTTAAATAACGTCTGTTTTGCTACATCTTGATTTTTCAACTTTAGACCTTATCTCTTTACTTCCCACTATGAAAGAAGAGGATTTCGATTATTTTTTATCCTCACTGTACACTGGTATACCCTTTCCATATGCCCTTCCTTTAATATAGTTACACTGTAATTCTGTGGGTTGATGTTCAGTGTTTATATTATTATGACCTTGTAAAGGTTATTTACAGCCAAACCACAGAGTAAACCGTGCATGCTCTTTCTTTCTTTTTTTTAAAAAAACATTTTGAATTTTCGTTTTATTGAAGGAAAGTCAGTTACAGTGTGTTGGTTTCTGCCATACAGCATGATGCCCCAGTCATGCACATACGTTCGTATATTCATTTTCATATGATTTTTTTGCACGATGCCGTGCTTGCTCTTTCTTTCTGAGACAACCTTCTGTTTTTCCTGGGATGAATAATTGTCTTGTTTTCTTGGCCTAGTTTTATTTGTACCTGTCATTAGTGAAACACAAATTTCCTCACAATGCAATCAGATACACCAGGTAGTCTGTCAATTTCATGGTCAGCTGCTAAAACGTCCAGAAACTTCTGTCTGCTTCAGTCTTAACTAGTTGCCCTCAACAAGACAGCTGTCATCCTGGGACCACCGCTTACCTTCCTTGTCAGGATTTTCCTGTCCTCTTCGTTGGACCTTCTGTCTCTTACAGACAAGTAGAAGAATGACCAGGTTCTGGAATTACTGAAGAGACTTTACTTCTCCCAACCACATCATTTATGTAGCTTCCCTTGTTCAGAGTTTCTTTCTCACTTAGAATATACTCTAAATTCCTTACTGGCCAAGGCTCTCCAACCTCCCCTCCCTCCACCCTTCCTTCTTTCATTAAGTTACAGCCACACTGTCTTTCCTTGGAATCATCCTGCCCACAATCTTAAACATCGATGCTTCCAACTCATCATTCATTCACAACTCATGTGGTGAAAATTCAGCAGCTTCCCTGCTCATCTTTGCTAAATATACCACCCATTTCCAGTCCCTCTCCATCACATTACCCGTTTCCATTGAGGGACAGGTGCCTCTCCTTGAATGGAGCCCCTCCCACCAGGCTTTCTTTCCTCATTCAACCTCCACTTTTGGGGAGTGACCAAGCCTGTACAAAGAAGCAGTCACTTCCTACCATGTCTCCTCACCCCATCTTCAGTCATTGCCACTAAATGTTATTTGGCTCCATCTTGTGGTTTGACTCCGCCTCATGTGGAGGCTCCAAATCTGAGTAAATCCCAGATCTCCCAAGGAGAGGACCCCCTGGCATTTCTGACCCCTGGAAACTTCCTGCTGCCTTGTCCCTGGAGCCCTGATGCCACACCTGAGACCTGGTTGGATTCCAAGGTTGTCCTTCACTCCTTCCCTCAGGGCTGCAGTAGATGGCTTTGCTCCAGGTACAAGTTCTTACCGTAACACCCGGAACATGACAGCTCCCCAGTAAATGTTTAAACACCTGACTGACTGAAGAGTGAAATGTAGTCCACTCAGCTCTCAAATTCCTCCTCATTACAAGCCAAGATATTTCCCCTCCCCTACCTTCCCCTCAGGGACCTGTCCACCTGATCAGAGCCCCATCTCATTCACATCTACCTCCTACACCGTCGTTTCCATAGGCCCCTTCATTCATAAACGTCCCAGTCTCTAAGCCAAACCTGAAGGGATGGTGAGGACGGATGGCAGGTATGAATAGTCACCATTCAGATATTGCTCAGTGATTTTACTGAGTGGATCCACTCAGATGGTGAATAATGTTTACTCAGCCTGGTTCCTCTTCACACAGTGAAAGTCATCATTGGGAATTCCCTCACCTATACTTATGGAACAAGTTCATTTCATTTCTTCTTTTGTGTCTTCACACTTCCTAATCGTTCTTCAGCTAAACTCATTTTAGCTGGGCTTGGTGAAAAAAATTAATTTTCTACAGCATGGTGGAATCTTAGAAACTACTTTTAAAAAGATACTGTAAATAGTGCTATTATGAACATTGGGGTGCATGTATCTTTTCGAATTAGAGTTTTCATCTTTTCCAGATATATGCCCAGGAGTGGGATTGTTGGATCTTATGGTAATTCTATTTTTAGTTTTTTAAGGAACCTCCATATTGTTCCCCGTAGTGGCTGCACCAATTTACATTGCCATCAACGGTATAGGAGGGTTTCCTTTTCCCCACACCCTCTCCAACATTTATTATTTGTAGACTTTTTGCTGATGGCCGTTCCGACTGGTGTGAGGTGATACATCTCACTGTGGTTTCAATTTGCATTTCTCTAACAATTAGCGATGTTGAGTATATCTTCATGTCCTGTCAGCCATCTGTATGTCTTCTTTGAAGAAATGTCTACTTAGATCTTCTGTTCATTTTTTGATTGGGTTGTTTGGGTTTTTGTTTTTTTTTTAACATTTGGTTTTTTTGTTTTTATATTGAGCTGTATGAGCTGTTTGTATATTTCGGAAATTAAGGTCTTGTTGGTCACATCCCTTGCAAATATTATCTCCTGTTCTGTAGGTTGTCTTTTTGATTTGTTTATGGTTGTTTGTTTATGTGTAAAAGCTTATAAGTTTGATTAGGTCCCATTTGTTTAGCAACCTACGTGTCCATTGACAGCTGACTGGTTAAAGATGTTGTATATATATGTATATATAATGGAATATTACTCAGCTATAGAAAAGAATGAAATAATGCCATTTGCAGCAAAATGGATGGACCTAGAAATGATCATACTAAGTGAAATAAATCAAACAGAGAACGACAAATATCATGATATCTTTAATAGGTGGAAAGTATTAATGGGTTGTCCAGTGTTATGTTCTCAGTCTCAGAAACTATAATAGTAACCGACTTTGAGGTTTGACAGTTATAGCTGATAAAAGAGCACTTTACTTTTTTCCCACCAAACATTAACTTACTCAACAAAATTAGCAGTGTCCTCATTTGGCAAACACGTGAGAAATATTTTATTGTGTATAAATATTTACTTGCTATCCAAGGACACAAAATGACTTGAAGTTTGGATGATGGGTCTCTCTTACTTTTACAGGAGCTATTCTTATCCTGGCCACCTTAGGTTGAGGGCAGGCCTCAATGGAGGTGAGAGGCCTAGTGCCCCAGTGAGGGAGGGAGGGGTACTGGCCTGGGTGGGGGGGGGCAGGACACGAGGGAAGTAGGTGGTTGAAGGACCCCTGAGACAACATGGTAGAGCAGAAAGACATGGTCTTTGGAACCAATGATTAAGGTCAAGTTAATATTCCTCTCTGGATCTCTGTTTTCTCTTCTGTTAAGTGGGTATCATAGACTCTAACGATCAAGAGTTGAACATTGTGAGAATCATGAGATGAATATATAAAGTGACAAGCTTAGGACCTGGACAATAATACAACCTAGTGTGTATTAGCACTACCTCCCTATATGTCCTAAGTGGTGATTAAGTCTCCCTTTCATGAGGTGACCGCTCATCCCAATTTGTCCAGGACTGTCTCAGTTTAATTGCTAACAGTCCCAGGTCCTGGAAAGCTCCTCAGTGCTGGGCAAAACCAGGACGGTTGTTTACCCGGCATTTACCCTACCTTGATGATACATCCTGTCCAAATCCCAACTCTGGGCCTGTCAGCCCTAAGGCAGGGCTGATCAACCTCCTTTTGGGATCTGTGCTGGGGCATCTGCATGGATGCAAATGCCAAGAGAAAGTTTCACCTTCATTTATGCTTATATTGAAACCACTTCCCCAGGGGAAGTTAAGGATATAAAGAATAAGAGACAGTCCCTAGCTCACAAAAGAGCCTTGGAACATATGCACGGTGGGGCAAAACTAAGGAGGAAGGAAGTTAAGTTGTGAACTGAAAAGGGAAGTTGTCAGTCTGATGGTCCACTGGGAGAGTCCTCAAAAGGCTGGTGAGCAGAACAGCCACACAGACAATCTGTGTGTAGCCACAATGCTAGACACTCGTGCTGGAGCCTGCAGACAGGGGAGGGGTTGAACGAGAGGGACTGGTATGTAGTTGGAGGCTCAGTGAGGTCCCTTGGAAGGTGTGTGTGTGTCTGTCATGGGGGATGAAAGGACAGTCAGAAAAGCCTTTATAAGGGAGGTAACAAGTTGTTCTTGGAAATTATGTAGGATTGCTGATGGGGGAAAGAGCATATTCCAGGCAGAGAGAACAGCATATGCCAAGGTCCAGTGGCAATAAATTGTGGGAGAATCTGGGAAGGCCCTATCTTCTGCTCTGAGTTGAGCACAGAGTTCAACAAAGGGTGAATGGGGACTCTGACCTTACAGAGGTGACAAAGGCTAGATAGAGGCCTTGTATGCCTTGCAAAGGAGTTTAAGCCTTAAGGGTCATAAGTGACACGATCAGATTTATTTTCTAAAGGATCTCTCCAGCAGCAACAGTGTTGGGGGTGGATTAACTGGAAATAGGGCTATGGATAGAAAACTAGGAAGAAGAGAGTCATGACAGTCCAGCCTGGGGGGCACTGAGAGGACAGAGTGATAGAGGAAGGCTCAGCAGGCCTCAGTGGCTGACAGAGAAGGGGAGCCGGGGGAGAACTCTAGGCAGAGCACCAGACTCTGGCTCCAGTGTCCGGGAGAGTAATGATACAT